AAAACCTGGATTCTGGGAGAGGCAGCGTCATACTGGTTGATTAACCCAATTATCAATTTCTTCATAAAAAGGAAAAGAATACCCCACAGGATTATTACTAGTACCAAGGAAATGCCCACTTCTTTACAACAAAGTACTAGATCCCATGCTGGGTACTCTGAATAATCTCATTTAGTTAATTAAGCAAGATGGTACATATTAAAGTGCTACAAAAATTAATAATTAGCCGTAGTAGCACATCACTCAAAAAGGATTCAAATTCATGAATCTGTTAGGAACTTCTAAATTTTAAGCTGAAACTCTGGCAAACTGGTGAAAATAATTTTAACTGATGACTTGTTCCACATAGTTATCTGGGCTTAGAAAATCTATAGTATGACAGTACAATATTGGAAGGTATCCAGACCAAAACCCCAATCTTTTATGCTTTCAGTAAACACAGAAATGTTCTTATAAATCTTTGCTGCTCCCCAACCAACCACCCACCCCACCAACCAGGGTTATCATTTGTCACCAACTCTTTTCACTGTTACAATGGGAAGTATTTGAAGGCTATTACTTTATATCTAAGAACTTAAAAGTTTTCTTCATGACAAGCAGCTGTAAACCTAGCAATCACCTCTCTATAAGCTTTATGAAATTACACAAGACAAACATCTAGGTACCATAACAAACTAGAAAAGTTCTTTTTAAAAACTTAAGAATGCATTTTCCTCATGACCCTTGGGCATAAAAGCAGCAATATCCTTTCCCTAGCAGTTTAGAAATCAACACCAAAAGATGAAGAAATTCAAGGAGGCAATCCTGAGACAGCATGTAATAAACTTGAGAGTAACGCATTCCAATGGCCCGCAACTACGTCTACGTCCCACTAAGACACAAAGAAGACAGGTGGAGAATTTCTCCATTTCTCCTTCTAGACAGTTGGAAAAATTCACGGAACCAAGACAGCTAAGAGTAAGTACCTTCTCCAGAAACATCAGGCGCTGGACATCAGGGTCAGGATGCGAAGAAGAAGGCAGAAAAAAGTTCATTTTGATGTTTTTCAACTAGATTCTGTCCTCATTACAACTCCACAGCCAGAATTGATAGGATCAGTGCTCTGAGGGGGCAGGCAGGTAGGAAGAAGAGGGAAGCACTTCACAAGGTCACCTTGTCTCTTCTTTTTTTGTGGAAATTAAGTATTAATTTATCTAAGTATCTAGAAGTCTGGTAGGAGAAAGTTCGAGAATAACAATATGCAGCCTGAGCTTACTATGGCTTGGTACCTGGAATAAGCAATTTCACTCTACCTTTAAAACCTCAGAGAGATGGGCAATATAGGGATAAGGGATGATAACACACAGGAAACAGAACCAATATTTCATAGTAGTTATAATTGGAGAATAACCTTTAAAAACTGCAAATCACTACACTGTACACACTTGTAACTTATATACGGGCCTTCCCTTGTGGCTCAGCTAGTAAAGAATCTGCCTGCAATGCGGGAGACCTGGGTTCAATCCCTGGGTTGGGAAGATGCGCTGGAGAAGGGAAAGGCTACCCACTCCAGTATTCTGGCCTGAAGAATTCCATGGACTATACAGTCCATGGGGTCGCAAAGAGTCGGACACGACTGAGTGACATATACTGTACATCAACTATACTTCAATTTTAAAAAAAAACCTTACAGGTGTGCACACAAGATGAGATACAGACAAAGCTCCTACTAACGTGTCTGATGCATGGTGAGCACTCCATGAAATCTTTTCCCCACCAACTCAACAGAGACAAGGAGCAGCTTTCTGGAATAACAGAATGTAAGCACAGTCTTAAAAAACAAAACTGTAGGAAGGATTTCTATTGGTAAAAGCAAGGGTGGGGCCTTTGAGGCAGAAGGTAGACGATGAAGGCAAAACCCAGGGCTGGGTTTCATGAAGAGTTGCAGGCCGCCGACCTGGAAGATTTATTCGGTAGGAATGTAAGAGCTGGTATAGGAATTTCGTGGTCTGGGGCCATTTGGAGAAAGGTCCTGAATGCCAGGCTAAGGAGCCTGGAATTTAATTTATGCAAGAGGCAGGCGAGACAGGTTCTGAGCAGGGGAGGAGCAGGAGTATCCAGCTGATAAGAAGGGAAGCTAGCTGATGTGAAACTGGAGAAAAGGTATCATCATGAACTTCTCTGTTACTACAAACACATTTTTGAAAAACATGTGAGGCTGAGTTTTGTTGTGTTTCAGCAGTCCTCTCTTACTTAACAAAGAAAAACAACACAACAAATCCAACTGTATAAGCTACATGAACAGATTCTGAGTAAGGTGGTAACTAGATCTTACAGGTGAAAAATTCGAAAGAGATCTCAGTGTGCAGTGGTGTGTCTGTCAGGTGTGTGCTGGGTGCTGGTGGTTAATGTTTTAAGCCACTGCAAGTGGAAGGGCATGCCTTTGTCAGGAGCATCAGTGTGAAAGAGATCTCAGTCCCTTAAGTCAGTGAGGTTTTGTTTCTAATCGTACTTATTTACTTATGATAAATCTCTATAAACTACTTTATCTAAAAAACCCGGCTCATTTTATAACACTGTATTTCCCTATGCGAGAACATAAAAAGTCAGTCCCTCCTGAGATTTTTAGGATCCAGTGTGAAAATATTTGAAATCAACAAAAATGCAGAAATATCTCCTACAAGATCACAGTACTCTCAGGTATAGATGCTAAATGAATAAGCTAGTACAAGAGGCACTGAAAAAAAAAATCAATATGGATTCAGAGGCACTGTTTGCTAGTATTGGGTTGGAAGTACTAGGAAAGATTAAAAAGAGGGAAACGGTTGCTTAATAGGCATGTACAAAATTAAATCAGCAGACAAATCTATATGTTATCAAAGATGTGATGATAGAAGAACTACAAATACTAAAAAACTAGTAATATACACCGCACAGGGGATGCAGATGGGGATGGGGAAAAGTTTTATCAAAAAAATTCCTCAAGTTGCTTAAAATGCAATCAATCCCATTTGGGGAATGAAAGACGATGCCAACTGTAATTCTCCTGGGATTCACCACACTTGGGAGTTAATTCACCCTTTCTCAGTTCCTCAGCACGAGTGGTTTTCTGTTATAGAAATACCAACACTAAACTTGTGCAACATCTAAACCACGATATTTAGAAATAAGAAAGCTATCTGGAACTAAATTAGGGGACAAAGGTCATTTAAAAAAAAATCACCACACAAAATGTGAAGCTCATCCCTTTTGAAGGAATTTCCTTGGCAAACACTTATGAGATAATCAAAGAGACACTGATTTTTTTTTTTAACTTTAAATTTTACTTTTCTAGAGAGGACAGTTTAAGACATTTCCTGTGTGTTAGCTCCACCCTCCTCAGAGAGCAGTTTTACAACCGTCCTCAAACCTTTCAGAATAACAGCCTTTTGTTATGGGTGGCCCTGTGGGCACACTCCTCCCCACACCTTTGTATATTTTCACCTTGGTTCGGTATTTCTCCCGAGACTACAGGAGGGTGCTGACTGGACCTTAGTAACAGGTTTTCAAGTCGAGGACACCCTGTGGTGTTTTCTCCTGGGCAGTATGACACAATGAAGTGGGGAGAAAGGGTCATTTGAAGAAGAGGTGCGTTCTGAATTCTCAGAACCTCAAACTTCAAACTGGGGCCTTTGATCACACACCCAGAAGATAACGGACACACCCAACTCCTCCAGTCTCCACCTGCAAGTTCCAGCTCTGGCCCTGTTAAGTTTGCACCGAAAAGCAAATTCTACCTTCGAAGAGCTGGAGAGGAAGGAGGCAAAGACCCACAACTGTTCCCTAGGGGGGATGGAGCTTCCTCTTAGCTAACTGCCAGAGGAATGCAGCACAGCCTAGCTAATGTTTAAAATCACGTCCTGTTCTGCCTCTTGTTTTCCAGAAGAGTGTCATTACTGTCAACTATTTCACAAGACAAATAAACCTGTGAATGAAATATATCCTCCCTGCTCTTTCCAGTGAAAACATTGGAAGACTGGGCTGCTTCCTTCCTTCCTCCTCCTCACAGGAACCACATTTGTGGTACTGAGAGGAGTTAAAATAAGAAACACAAAGGAGGTCTGCAAACGCTACTTTTCAGAGCACCAGAGTCATTTTCAGTCTATTGCTGATTCCGGGGGCTTCCTAATGGAAGGAGTTGTGTTTTCAGTTATGAATCCTTTTTCATGCATCAACTAGGAGACTCCACCAGCCAGGCCTGCTGGCAGGGCAGGGCAAGGCCCACCCCAGCCACAGGCTGCAGGCCCATCAGCCCCACAAAGTGCTGCCCATAAAAATATGTGCAGTAAAATATTAGATTCATTCAACTGTTCGAGACTAATAAAGACTCCAAGAAACCTGCAATTGATCCAACTAATCCAACCCAATAGCGCTGGAATGACAATAACTGGTTTTCATTATAAATTACATAGCCCACTAAATTGATGGGAAGGCTCTATCCCAACACAAAACATCAAAAGAGTTAAAATTAAGCTCCGGAATCAAAACTGTAATTTACCCAAGGCTTAGGAACAAAAAGACCACTCCCTCCTTCCCTTTGCCATTGTGCTACAGGGTGTCCAGCAGTGCACTTTACACCTTTAGGTTTCCCAGAGGTAAGAGGCTGGGGACTGGGAGATACAGGCGTCCTGGAATCAAACACTTGCATACTAGTAGGCCTATTAGCATTGGTCTACTGAAATGCAAGGACAGTTAAAAAGGAAGAAAATGTGTGTGCTGTGGGTAGTAGATACCTGACAACCGAGAGAGCCCAAAGGAAACTGGAGAGGTAGACTCCAAATGGTGGCTTCTCTGGAGTCAAGAGTGAGAAACCGTCTCCTTTAAGTAGTGCATGGGCTGCTTGCAGCCAACCAGAGGCTTTGGGGCTGGGCGTGCGGCCGCCGGGCTTCAGCAGGGTCACGTACCATATGGCACAAATAAAGCTTCAGAACCCACGGAGGCACGGCTCCAGGGCAGGCCCGGCCATAGAGTGCGGAGCTTACCTTGGAGCTGCTTGAATCTCCCTTCCAGCTGGTTGAAGTTGTAAGGCACCTGCCCAGTATAAGCCGGCGACAGCGGCCCGGAGATGCTAGACGTCCTCTGCAATTCCATTATGCCCAACGTAACGCCCCGGCGGGCTGAACGGTGGAAATCCCGCTCCGGCCCCCTCCTACCCCCATTCAGCACGCAGCGGCTTCCGCAACGCCTGGCTCTCGGCCCCGGCGAAAAGGGCTGGACCTTAGGCAAGCTCCATGCCGGTGTGAAAGTCCAGCAGGGTGACCTGATAGGAAGCTGGCCGCAGGAGAGTCCACCTTAGCCCGGTCACTCACGTATCCAATTCCTGTGGCTTTCCTTCCTTTTGTGGCCCTTGGCTCTAGGCTTGAAATAAATTACCGAGAAGGGGCGGGAGGGCGGAGGGAGGGCCTCAGGCCGCAAGTCCCACTTAAAATTTTTTAAAAATACGGCCAATCCTGAGCATGCCCTAGTCGCCGAGCCCAGGAGCTCGCGGGCGCAGCGCACACACCTCCTCCCCGCTGCCCGTGGCGGCCGCCGGTTTGTAATTTAATCAGGAGCCACTCGCCGTGCGCTGGGCGGTGATGTCACCTGATTAGCATAACAGCATTGTAGAGGAAACGCAGGCTGTACCACGAGGGGCGCGGGGGAGGCCGGCGGGCCGCGGCCCCCCACCCACCGGCCGCCGCGGAGTCGCCGACCCCCAGGCCGGGCCCGGGACGCGCCTGCCGCGGTGGTAGCTTCCCGAACAAAGCTGCTGGAATTACAATCTTTTGTTGAGAGCCTCACGTAACGGAAAAGTCTCCGATTACTATCACAGGAAAAGAAGGCGGCCCTGGAGGGTCAGGAGCCGCGCAGGTCCCCGGCCGCGGCGGCTCATCCACTAGGCAGCGTCTGAGGAGGCCACGCGGACCGCGCACCTGGGCGCTCGGCGTTCTCAGCGCGCGGGCGCCGACCACGCGGCGGCGGGACCGTGTCGGCGGGTGAAAGTAAAACAAACTCCCTCTGGGCTCCGGGTGGGGACACAGCGAGGGGGTGGGGGGAGCGCTGTAAGTTCAGCCTCACGAAAGGATCTTCTCGGCAGGCTTCTGCTGCCTGCACGCCATGTTAAGCGGAGGGTCTCTGGGTAACACCAGCCCCGTAACAGTAACTCGACGCAAGATTTCTGGGAGCACCGTGTTGCAAGGCATTGTGGGAGAAGGGTACACAGGTAAACACCTCCGGGATCACTGACCTGGATGATCTGAGGAACCAGTGAGGAGATAAAAGAAACCCCGCTCAAATCCTATTGTGATTTTTTAAAATGAAACCTTTCAATTTTTGAGTTCTTCAGGAATTTTAAACTCTCCTCCCCGGCTCTCCCACCAATCTCAACCCAAAATAAAATCCTCTACATAAAAAATGTCTGTGTCTGTGTTAGGTGCACAGTCGTGTCCGACTCTTTGCGACCCGATGGGCTGTCGCCCACCAGGCTCCTCTGTCCATGAAATTCTCCAGACAAGAATGCTTGGGTGGGTTGCCATTCCCTCCTCCAGGGGATCTTCCTGACCCAGGGCTGGAACCCGGGTCTCCCGCACTGCAGGCAGATTCTTTACGGCCTGAGCCACCAGGGAAGCCCCCAACATAGAACAGTGTGTTCTTGGAAAATAACTGACCCTAATTACCCCGCGCCCAACCACCCCCTTTTTTAGTAACTACAGACAGACAACAAATTACAAACTTAGGGTTTCAAGCGTGGAGCCTTGCAGCCATACTTGCTGAAGAAGGTAATTTCATTCCTAAGTGATTCCAATCTGCACTAAAGAGGTGGACCTCCACCACAGGTTTACTTTAGTCCCAGGGCACTTGTAATTCAAGCAACTGCATCCTATCCAGGGCTAAAGTTAAAACAAACCCAGCATCCAGCTAACTGCTCAACTTGGAACAACCCCCATTCCTCCCATCCACACTGCTGGGTTTTTAACATATCCAGTGTCAACCTTCAGCGTGCTAAAGCCAGGCCCAGGATTCGAAGCTATTCTTCCTCCAAGAGGTAGAGCATTTTCTAAAGCCACTTTACTGCAGTTCAAAATACTGACAGCAAGGTGGCAAAATGTGGGATCTTGGAAGAAGCACTTGAGGAGGATTCCCAAGACTTGAGTTTCTTGTCCTGGCCAAGGCACTTAATCACTTATGACCTTAGAAGAAACCCTGGATTCTTTCTAAACCTCCACTGTCAGACAGGGATAATTAATGCCTACCCACAAGATTACTGAGGGAATGATGTGAAAATGCCCTAAAAGTGGTCATAGTATTCACAATTAGGAGTACGTTTTGCAAACTTAATTTTGCCCCCTACACATCACATCAAAGCTACAGAGGGCAGAACTGAAAATGTCCTCCTAACAGGCCCCTCTTCACTATTAAACATACTGGTGATGTGGTAAGTCTCCTAAGTGTCTAGCTACCAGTACAAAAAATGAGACTGCAAAGTGCTTGCCAATTTACAACACATTTTAACTCTTTAAGCCACTTCGTGAATAGAGTATGAGTCACCACTCTTAGTCTCCCTTTCAGTTCCCTCTGATATAGGGAACTAGGTAAAATAGGCTTTCTAATTAGCCAGGTTACATGTGATGTGGCAGAGGGGGGGGCTGGGACTAGTGTAGCCACATTTGATCCTAAAGAGCAAACTTAGAACAAGCCAGGCAGAGTGAACATGTATATCTATTAGAAAGGTTTTGAGGCTAGGAAAGGGTTAAATAACCCCCCAGGGGCAAGATGTGAAAGGTGAGAAGGTCTGGTGTGAAGGGGCCAAGGAAGGAGAAAGGACCCAACACTACTGGCTCACAGGACCACCTCCACCTCAGCAGGGATGAGAAGGGAAAGACAAGCCAGAGTCGCTCAGTCTTTATTCCGTGCAGTATCTCCTAGACACCAGCTGTGTGCAGGGCACGCTGCCTGGTGTTTTCAGAGGCATCAGAGATGACTGGGAGAGCTGGTGGCCAAAGGGAATGGGACAGATACATATGCCAATAGTTTGAAACCAGAAGAACAGAAGGCAGGGGACCTTCTAGAGTTCAGAAGACAAGGGCACATCTGCCTAGGGAGGCGGGGAGGAACAACTCCAGGAGAGACAGGCATCTGGCCAGACCGTGAAGCACAGGCAGACCCTCTACAGAATGAGATGAGGAGGAAGCCCCTCTCCTAGTTGTGGGGGGAAGCAGCCCAGGTAAAGTACCGGCTGCACTGTCGGAGGAACTGCACCAGCGGACGCAACCATTTAACTTAAGCACAAGGAACGAGGATAGGGCAAGAGGGAAGCCAAGAGAGTCAGGCTTGGAAGCACAGAGATTTGTGAACCTGAGGTGGACAGGGTCTGGGTTGGGCTGTAGGGATGATTAATTGGCAGGGTAGGGTAGGTAGAATGAATAGAAAGCAGAGAGACTGAAGGCAGCAAGGTCACTTAGATGGTCACTGCAGTTGTCCAGGTCAAAAGGCTAGTCAGCATGTGGCAATAGGAGCAGAAAGGAATGGGCTGATGCAAGCGTTAATCCACAGGACTTTAGTAACCAACTCAAGTCCTATAGGACTTCAAAGTCTTTGGGAGGTTCAAAGGACAGGGCTGAACTTCAGACTCTGGGGATTTTAGAGATGGCCATGGTGTGCAGGGTGGGTTGAACACTTCCTTCCAGAGAGGCTGCAGCTCCCCAGGGTGATATGTCCAGACGCGGTCAGGGATGTGGAAAGAGAGCTCAAGGCTGAAGACACAGCCCATGTACAGAGTCAGAGTGGAGGCTGCAGTAGCTGAAGTCTAGGAAAGGGCATAAGAGGCAAGGGGCCAAGCAGGGAGTCCTGGGGAAGGCTGGTGTCTGGGAGGAAGGAGAAACAACAGTGGAGATACCAAGGGAATCGGAGAGGGGAAGAGATACTCAAGCAGGAAAGGCGGCAGACGGACGGCAGCACGTGCTGCAGAAAGCGCAAGGAACAAAGAACAGGTGGTCCAGTGTGTGAATTAGGTCATGGGGATAATATGAGCTGAAGCAAGGCCACAGGGAGTTGGAGAACAAGACGGAAGATGGAGGACAAGAAGGTAGCTATGGTGAAGTCAAGATGAGGGAAGAGAGCTTCAGGACTAGGAAAGGGTTCCAGGGCCAGTCTGGCTAGCATGTCCTTTGCTTCAACCTTGAGCTGGTGCAGGCAGGAAAAAGCTGATGGGAAACGGCTCACAGGTGTGGACAGAACAGGCTGCCTTAGCCAAGAGGAGGCCCCCTTACCTTCAGAGGCCAGAGGGCTACAGACATTCTGAGGAGGAAAGGAGCAATTTAAACGAGCTTGCCAGGAGCTTGCCCATCTCTAAGGCTCTTTAAGGTGGCTCAGATGGTAAAGACTCTGCCTGCTACATGGGAGACCCAGGTTTGATCCCTGGGTCAGGAAGATCCCCTGGAGAAGGGAAAGGCTACCCACTCCAGTATTCCTGCCTGGAAAACCCCATGCACAGAGGAGACTGGCGGGCTACAGTCCACGGTGTCGCAAAGAGTCGGACACTACTGAGCGACTTCACTTTCAGTTTCTTTGCCCAACTCTAACTTGATAAAGCAAGAAATCAAGGGTCCAAGTTGCAGTTTTATTTATAGTGACCTAAAAAAAAGAATCCTGAGGACACACCGCTATGGCAGAACCATGCAGCATGTGAATGGGAACATCAGATGGGGGGTCAAAACGCTCAACAGTCAAGCTGTCCTCAGAAACAGCCCCTGCCATTTTGGCCTATCCCCCCTCCCCCAATCTTCTCTAACTTAAAAAATTACTGTCCCCCCCCTCATGCCAAGGATATCAACACATGTGGCCAGCCCTGAGAACTGGTTGTGCCTGCCTTCAGGTTGCATCAAGATTTCAAGGCGTGAGAATTCCCTGGTGGTCCAGTGATTAGAACTCGTCGTTTCCACTACTGAGGGCACAGGTTCGATCCCTGGTCAGGGGACTAAGATCCTACAAGCCTTATGGTGCTGCCAAGTAAAAAAAAAAGGGGGGGGGGGGGGTTTCCCAAGGTGTAATGAATGGATACAACTGGTCAAGTCAGCTATAGGACTATAGCAACTGAAGCCCAAGTAACATGTATCTGCTATCCTTGGGATGACAGAAAGGGAAAGCCCAGTAGCTATGGATATCTGCAGACAGCACAAATCAGAAGTGCTAGGGTGTGGTGGAAAGACTCAAGTCCACAGACAGGTACTCAGGATCACCTCAACTCCTGTGGGTCCCCCAAGGAGCTAAGTAATTGCATGGGTGCCTTTACCACCCTGGACCTTGCCATCCTCGCCCCCAAATCAAACAGGTTGGAATCTATGGTCATAAAAACTCCTTCTGGTTCTAAAAGTTAGGAGTGACTTGGGTTCAATCGCCACATAAACTCAGGTGGCCATAATAACAACAACATCACATTATTATAGCACCTTGTAGCCTTCACATGCATTTTCCCAAGTAAGGTAGGTATCGTGTCCATTTTGCAGACAAGGGAACTAAGATTCAC